AAGATAAATTTCTCCCCTAACTTGGGGGAACCAACTGCAAACCTTATGAGGATCATGCATCAAATTGCTGAAAAGCATGTGTAAATATCGTGCATGTGAACAGCTGCGTTTTGGTGTAGAGTTTTGTTAAGAATTCGCCCATTTTCACTGAGTTTCATCATTTACTGAACTCATGACAATAATCTTTTCAACGTTACGAACTTGTTTACAATACATCCGTTCATGTGTAAACAGTACCTTCAAACAGTATGGAATATTTTACAAAATCTAGTTTATAACAGTTGACTGAAATTAGTGGCTACATTTACACTAGTGAGTCTAAACTTTTGATGGGTTGTATATTATTAAGCAATTCCTTTACACACTTTGAATAAAGAATGTTAACGCACATGGTCTACATTTTCTTGACAGTTTGCCATTCTCTACTCCAGAGTCGTCCTATTACCACACTCAGCAATAGTTCAGTAATACAGATTAACCATCAACGTGATGAACGTCTGTGAATGATGACACCCACTCAACAAACGGACTGCTCATGATGAGGGACTATGAGGTAGCATAATGGCGATGTTGAAACAAGCAGCGAGCCATGCCATCATGTTTTTTTAAGGTGTGCTTTTTGTGCCAAGGAAGGGCATCGAACAAGTTGTTTGGCAGTCTCTGTAAATTCATTGCACAATCGACATTCCATGCAAATATTTTCATTTAGTGAATCTAAATGAAAATATTTGCATGAAATGTCGATTGTGCAATGAAATTTAAAACCAGCTGACTAACGACAAGTATGGGTTGCTCAAGACCAATTCTACCGCGGATCTTAAAGGGTCTCGTGAAGTTTTAGAATAACAAGTTAATGTGACTTTTTATAATGATTTGGTTCTCTGAGAACTCAACAATATTTCTACTTGTATTTAAATACGAACTAAGTCACTCTCAAAGAGCACCTTCTGAGAACAGGTGTCTTCGTGAATTCTACCGGCAAAGTATGACGTTTTACCTTTTTCTCAAAACACGGATTTTCAGTGAGACATTAAATATTTTGTCAAGCCATGTTCGTTCCACACAAAATTTAAACGAACCAATAACGACTGATATCTTCATTAGGATCTGGGGCGGTGGGGGTAGCCCTAATGGTTAAAGCGTTGGCTCGTCACGCCGAAGACCGGGTTCGAATCCCCACTTGGGTACAATGTGTGAAGCCCATTTCTGGTGTCCCCGCCGTGATGTTGCTGGAATATTGCTAAGCGCGGCGTAAAACCCAAACTCAGTCAGTCAGTCATAATACATTTCCTACATAATATACAACTACCAGTACCCCGTCAGATTCACGTGAGCGTTGATGTAACACAACGGTAGAATTATTAGCTGGAATTATTCGCATAATTACTGTTTCGACAGTTGACGTTTTGTCAGTTGAAAGGAGGGGCAATTAGTCTGTACCACATTAATGCATTTATGTGAATCTGCTATTTGTGAACAGAAAAATAAAGTTTAGGTTGTAAAATTACGAAAAAATACCGAATCCTTTGATTGTGATTTCTTAAAAGTTGCGAATTGATGGACAACGGTGTAAATATATCAGCGCCTTTACAACGTGATATCGAAGTTGGTATCATGAACGCCTTCTTGTCATAGGTAAAAAATGAGATATATGTATGGTTTTAGCAATACTCCAGAAATATTATGGCGAAGAACGCTAAAAATGCGCTTCACAGGTTATACCCATGTGGGAATCAAACCCAGGTTTGTGGCGTGATCAGCGAATGGTATAACCACAAGGCTACCCAATCGATCCATGACCTTTGACAATTTTCGTATTCTTTGACAGGAAGAGCGTAACAATGCTGTCCTGCTCCGACCATCCCGCAAGTCCGGTTGTCTGACTGTCCGGCTAAGGATGTTGCGTTCTTGCTTGTGCGTATGCAAAATGTATGACAAATTCATGTACATGTATTCCAATATGTCTTCGTAAAGAAAAAGCAGACCTAGTTTCAAAATTTTGTATTTATATATGGTCAAATGGAGCTAAGTGAACCTTCGTTGTTCCAAAATCAATTATCTTAACTATTATGAACATTAGCCAACAAGATAGACTGGCACTGGTGATAAGTTCAAACATTTGACTGACTAGGAAGGTATTGATCCAGACTAATAAATCAGTGATGGTACCACAATCGGATATAAAAGCCACAAAACCCTTTTCTTCACTATCTCTGTGATCAGTGTACATGTACTAGCGTTAACAATACCCCATGGCGTCTTTAGAAAAATCCTCTCAGAAAAATGTTTGAAAAGTAAATACGCTCTAAGCGTCCGTATGTCTTCAAACAAATTAAGTTTAAGTAAAAAATATTCTTTCATGTATAGCCAAACACTTGGAGAGAAGGCGGGCATTTTGCCAGTAAGATTCCGTGGGAAATGCTGCAAGGTATTTACATAACGCACAAACTGTTTGATCGGGGCCTCAGATATATATCAAAGCTTTGGAATTTACACAATATTATGTACAATAGGTCAGGCGGAGTGGGACAAATGGGTTTTTCTGTGTTTCCCGCAGAAACATAACAATAATGATAATCAATTGTTTTCCTTGTCGAGTCCTTTTCTGTGATATTAGCATGACATTTGGACTCGATAAATGCAATACACTTCATTTGAAACGTGGAAAGGTAATTAATGATAAATCGGTCAAGTTACAGGGGGAAGGAATTTTTGAGCAACTTGTGGAAGATCAGGCCTACACCCATCTTTGAATGCAAGTTCGAGACAAGCTACACAGAATGCCCAGATTCAAGAAAAACTTAGGCAGAGTATAAATGTGGAACTCAGAGCTAAAATGCTCGAAACAAAGGTCAAACCACCAATAGGCTAGCTGTGTCAATCCTTTCTTATTCCTTTGGAGTAATTGATTGGACAAAACAAGACATCCAGAGTCTTGACCGCCTGACCAGAAGAACATGTCTGATAACAGAGCCCACCACCATCATTCCTCTCTTAATCGTTTATATATGCCAATCAGTTCGGGAGGTTTGATTAATGTGGAAGCTCTTCATGATAGAATTTTATTGTGTATTGTGTACGGATGATCCTTTGGTGATGCATGTCAAGACTCAAGGTGAAAACAAGGAATTTTAAGGACAGAATCTGAAATTTGATGTTGATTTTGTTGATGGCGATGTATTGCTGGACGGTACAGCGATAGGAGTAAACCAGGTGAAGTCCTTCACCAAGTCTGCCCAGAGTCGGTCATTTGTGGAAACGTTTTCTGAGAAGCCATTGCATCGTCTGTACAGGCAGTGAGTGGAGCAGAACTACAATTCCACCGACTCCTTCGCCTGAATGAAGTCGGCCGGTCTTAAATGTGAAACAGAGGGCTTTCTTTTTGCTGTCCATGACCAGTCACTTCCCACTCGCAGTCGCCTATAGGTGAGTCTTAAAGAAAATATCAATATGAAATTGTCGATTGTGCAATGAAAATACAGAGACTGTCCAACACCTTGTCACTGGATGTCCTTCCTTTGCACAAACAGCATATCTTAAACAACATGATGGCCTACTATCGTCTTCGCCATGCCTGTGGCTTTGACTCCGAGGTCCATCCATGGTACGACCCTGACCATGTTCAAGGCGCAGAGACATTATTACCCTGGATAAGCCAAACTGCCTGTATGGCACTAGAAGGTGAACAGTTATATGACTTATCCGACCGGGTACCCATTCACTGCTGAGGCAATTATAAACAAACTCACTTGCCTTAGGTTAAACCACATGTGTCACGTGTGCTTTGTTGTGGGACACGACTGAAGTCATAGAAGCTCACAGGAGTCAAGCTGCTGAAAAACGGTCACCCATCCAAGGACTGTCCATGACCAACGTTGCTTAACATCACCTGATTTGTGACCTGAGCTCTATGCTCAGGACCACATACTATAGAACTTGTTGATAATGTCAGAAGAACACAAGCTGACCGACCGGTATATCCCCGGTAGATGATTAAAGTAACACTAGTGAGTGAGTGAGTTACGTTTTACGTTGTTCTCAACAATATTCAGCAATATCATCGACAGGGGACACCACATTGAAAAATGTGGGAATCGAACCCGGGTCTTCGTAGTGACGGACGAACGCTTTAACTACGAGGCTACCCACACTCCTCATCATGAGCAGTCTGATTGTTGTCATCTATCACAAACGTTGTTCATCACGTTGATGGTTTGTCTGGTCCAGATTCGACAGGCCGCGGGTGTATGGCTAAAATATTGCTGAGTGTAGCAATAGGACGACACTGGAGTAGAGAATGGCAAACTGTCAACAAAATGTAGACTATGTACGTTAACATTATTTATTCAAAGTGTGTAAAGGAATTGCTTAATAATATCAAAAATATGTACTTTTATTCAAAAGAACCGAAAAACAAAGACATATGGATGAAACTTGGAATAGGTAGTAGTAGTCGTCGTAGTTGTTGTTGTTGTTGCAGTAGTTGTAGTAATCATCCTTGAAGTAGTAGTAGTAGTAGTAATAGTAGTAATGGTAGTAGTAGTAGTGGTAGTAGTAGTAGTAGTAATAATAGTAGTAGTAGTAGTGGTAGTAGTAGTAGTAATACTAATAGTAGTAGTAGTAGTAGTAGCTGTAGTAGTAATAAACAATGATAAACTATGTGCGCTTAACACATTGCAACCATGTAGGGCTCGAAACCCGCATCGCGAAGCAAGACAAACCAACGCCTTAACCTCCAGGTTACCTCACCGGTAGCACAGTAAGAAGGATATATCACAATAGATGTAAATAGTACTGTAAATGTTCAGAAATGACATCTAAGATTCCCTGTTTACTATTTTTGCTAAACAATTATCATCGTTAATTAAAACTGTGATCATGCCGTCTTGAGTACAATCACCAAACTAAACGCATCATCTAAGACATTGATTTGCTAATATTTATAGTACATTTTAAATATACCATCGTGCATTTCTGAAGCTTCTGGGATTTTTTTTCTCCAAAAACTGCCAATCCAAGCGTTTAATAATTGTCCAATATCAGAAAGATTTTGACTACTTGGGCCCGGGTTTTCGGGGTATTTTCATTAACACTGCCATACACCGAGAATAGTACTACATCTGACTTTAAATGCAAGCCAACATTTTAGAAAAGACTAAAAAATGGAAAAACCAAAACTTTGTCGAGGCCACAGGTTTGGAAAGGATTAAAACCTCAACGTGTCTTCTGAATCTAAGCCATGATCACCGCGAGGAAGATCAACGTCAGGGAGGCCACATGGGTTCCTGCGCCACCGGATTGGGGATAGTTAAAGTCATTCTTATTCACATCGCACATTGCCAGCTTGCCGAGGAACTCCAGCCCTTCTTTGGATCTACGCATGAGTCTTCTGACATAGTCTGAGACATCGCCTCCACTTAAGCAAGGGTGTTTCAGGGTGTCCATGACCGCCATCTTGCATTCGGGAGTGCACAAATCGGACAGGAGATTACAGTTGACGGTCACGGATTTGAAGAGCGCCTTAGACTCAGCATCGACTTGAAATACAAATTCCCAGACGTTGCAGTTCTCCTCAATGAGGCTCTCACGCCCACAAATATTGATGCTCTTCCACGACACACACATGCCATTCTTCAGAGCATGTTCTGGGTAGTACCAAAGGAACCCAAAGCACATTTCATCTGATGTTCCATCGCCGTAGAATACCCATTTCTTCTTATACGTCGATTCGAATTTGCAGGTGGTCACTAAGCTGTCTCCAGGAAGAAGCTCAACTGGATCGTCATAGCTGTAGCGATAAAAAGTAAGAGGTAAGAAAATACATGTGTATGTAGCAATTCAGAATTTCAGTAAATATGCTGGTCGTTACAACCCAATTGTGTTACGGCTGACGATGACTATTTATTGTTTTACCCAAGCAGTTGTTCAATTATATGACAGTGGTCTGTAAATAATCGAGTCCTTACCAGAAAATCAAGTCATCGATATTATGAGTAACGATCACGTGATACAATGATGTCAGCAGTCACCGAATCCAACAATCAAAACCGTTTAATTATCTCCCAAGACATTGGCTCATGTGAAACAGTTCAATTCCTGATTCTCAAAGCTAATAAGGTCTCACTTGAAGTAGAGAGGCTGGTCATAGCTGTACTCTGGTTCATTGGTCAGATAGCGGACCCTTTGTCCATTTCGCCTCAGCTCTACGGACGCTGATCTACCTTTAAAGATAAAACATTTACCATTTACTAATGATGCCAGTCTGGAAGCAGCAACAATAACAATGTTAGAATTGTCAAAAGGAGAAGTCTACTTCTTATTTTACGGTACATTTTATATGCGTTCTATGTAAATAAGTCCGTTGTCGTAGTTGTTCTTTATACTTATTTACTTATGTCCTTCCTTCCTTTCTTCCTTCCTTCCTTCCTTACTTATTTCATTCATTCAATCAATCAATCAATCATTCATTCATTCATTCATTCATTCATTTAAAGTTAGTTATTAGCCTAATAGAGCGTTCAGTTCATTAACTCACAAGTGATAGGAACATCTGATGTTTCTGTGCATGTTGATTGTCTTGCTAGACAGTGTACTTAGCTGCGGATAATCTGGCCTCACCAGTTCTGTTCCTCACTCTGACAGCGTGAGTTCGAATCCCGGGTGAGACTCAAAGCAAAAATTACTAGATTTTGTGCTTTACGGAGAAAGTGTAATCCCAAATATAACATATGTCACGTCCTAAATGAGAATGTGTGGATTCATGACTCTATATGGTATTATTTTCACTTTAAAGGGACTGTTTATTTGCATGTTGTCGTGCCCTTATCTATTGCATTTTTGTGAGTTTATGATTGAAAGATTAAATTGATACACAATCTTTACATACCTTTAATGTTTCAGTTGTGTTTTACCAGAAAATCGCATCCGATATTACATATCTGCCTTAAGGCGTGAACCCCTTTAATAATTCAGGGCCCGTGCATTGAAGCTTTGTACAGGTATCTTACAGGACAGTGCGTAACGTACTTGTCGCTTGAGGTGCGGGTTGTAATTTCATTCTGAAAGATTTTCCTGATTTAAGTTGTCCGATTAGGCTTAATGCAGCGAAGTCATAATCTAGCACATTAATCCAGAGGGGCTAAGTGTGTTGGTTTGTTGTTTTACGCTGAACGCAGCAATATTCCAGCTATATGGCGGCGCTCTGTAAATAATCGAGTCTTGACCAGTCAATCCAGTTGACATCAGCATGAGCATCGATCTCCGCAATTCGGATACGATAACATGTTTCAACCGCTGTATGCGGTGTTAAACAACCAACCAACCAAGCATTCAGATTTACATTACTTACCTAAATAATGCATATGATTCAAGGCTGTTGGGACATAAATGGGCTCTGTCATAAGTTTTTCGTGTGCATTCAGATGTACATTCTCCTCTGAACGTGACCTCTGATTGTCCAGGGGGGATTGCTAGGTTCATCTGTCCGAGTGACATGAGTGAGCCATTATTCTTTCGTAAGTTGGGGGTGTAAAAGAACGTCATTCCTGAACTGTCCTTCCAGCCTGACACTTCGTTCGGGTTGTTCCAGTGAAACTGAAAAAGAATGGAAATGAAAATAATACACGGTGGAGTGAGTGAGTGAGTGAGTGAGTGAGTGAGTGAGTGAGTGAGTGAGTGAGTGAGTGAGTGAGTGAGTGAGTGAGAGTGAGTGAGTGAGTGAGTGAGTGAGTGAGTGAGTGAGTGAGTGAGTGAGTGAGTGAGTGAGTGAGTGAGTTTTTATTCCACTTTTAGCACTGTGGGGGCCACCTGAAAGGAGCTTCACACATTGTACCCATGTGGGGAATCGAACCCGGGTCTTCGGCGTGACGAGACAACGCTTTAACCACTAAGATACCCCGCCACCCGGAAACTGAAGAAGGGTGGGCATGACAATAACACCAAGGTGTGTGTGTGTGTGTGTGGGTCTGGAGTGTTGTTGCTAAAATTGGAAAGAAAAATATGATGTGATGGGTTTATATCGGTACTCGCGTTGGAATACTTGTTGGCAATTGTGATGTAATAGACTGGTATTCGTGCATCTTGGCAAGGTTGGAAAGAACTCGTTATGTTATGGACTGGTATCCGTGTATCCTGGCAAGGTTGGAAAGAACTTGTTATGTAATGGACTGGTATCCGTGTATCTTGGCAAGGTTGGAAAGAAATTGTGATGTGATGGGATGGTACCCCTTTCTAGCAGATATATTATTACGACAGCGTAGCTAGCTCGACATTAGATAAGTATTTCTTTATTATTACAATCTTCATAAAAATACAATGAAACACCTTTTACTTGGACCTCCGTTTAAGGAAAATTAGTATGTTCTATATGCCACTGCGAGTGTGAAAGGTGGATCCACGACGAGTTTGATTCATTCAAAATTACACACAAAGGTCGTACTGGAGCCTGTATGAACTGCTTATTTATCTGGTACAGAATGCACTGTGTGCAGCCTTAAACAAGTAACACAGAATATTTATAAATTAATGAACATATATATATATATATATATATATATATATATATATATATATATATATATTATTAATATGAATATATATGAAAGAAATTTGGTCACTAGTACCTCCAGGGCAAACCGTTTGTATCTTGATTTTCCGAAAACTAGTCCAAAGTTGTCATTGAGGCATTCTCCAGGAGACCCAACTGTCCAGCCCCCTAGACCCGCTGTGCATCCCTTCCCAGCATCCATGCCACATTTGTATGGTTCTGTTGGTAGTTCCTCTGCAAAGAAAATAGATATATACAGCTCACCATTTTTAAGGGATTCTAAGAAGGTCATATTTCTGTACCTTTGCTGTTTCACTCAAAGCCACACTCACCATCAGGAACCAATGGTTGATATAATGAGCAACGATGAAACAATATAACGACGTTACCGACGCTGACCATCCGATCTATTATGTCGCCGGTTACGGCCATTATGATTAATAACCTGAATCCCCAGACATTGCAAATCATAAAGAAAATGTTCCTATGATATAATCATCACTGCATAGCATACACTGGATTTGGTTTCAGTTGAAAGACTGGTTCGACGCACCTGATGTGTCAGAGCAGCCGTAGACTACGACATGATGCATGACGTTTTCGTTGTCGATGAGAGGCTTGCTTCCAATGTAGTGGTAGTCCTGGTCAGAGGGGACGTCGAAGATCATGCAGATGTAGGTGGTGTCCTCGGCGGGCACGTCGGTTTCGGGGAAACGGATTGTGAAGTTCCTCACATCTGTGAAGGTGAGATGACGACTTAAGAACGACACTATGTGCATTATTTGGGTAGGTATTAGGGTGAGTGAGGTTCATCATATCTTTGAAGGCTGAATGAATGAATGAATGAATGAATGAATGAATGAATGAATGACTAAGCATACTTACCTGGCGGGTCCAGATATACAACATAACCTTTCGTTTCACACTTAAATCATGACACGTGTAAACGATGAAAGCATTGCACATACATTCAGGAATGCAACTAAAACGATTTACCTGGTGCGTTGAGAGCATCGCACTCCAGTTCTGACCCTTTACACGAAACCCACGCATTCTTCGCTTGACAGGCAGGGGAGTCAAAAGGGTCACAAACACCTGGAATATATAGAAGGTCGTTCTCCATAAACCGAATTGGTATTATATGAACGTGTGTACATGCACATATGATGAGTTCTATTTTGGGGTGGTATAGATTCCGTACATCGACGCTCAATCAAACTTTCATCAAATGGCTTGAAGTGAGTTATTCAGTCCTCAGCTGATAGTAATGTAGATTTGATTATCATACTAGTAACTAGAAGCGAATTTAAAAGTCACTCATTTTTCAAAGTCAATGTTTAAATTTGTCAAACACTTGCGAAAAAATGTTCAATAGTTGTATTTATCATTGTGCGAACATGAGATTTGCAGCGACGATTAGCGGATCCTGGTGCATCTAAGGGAGGAGATATATATTCTTAAAGGGCACAGGATAGTTCCTTCCGTGATCAGGACTATGGAATCCTAGAAGGGACATTGTTGCGTTGTCGCCCTGACAAAAACAAACAAAAAGTGGCAAAATTTGCGACAATGCAACCACGCGACATTTTAGCCATTTGTTTCTGTTTGAAGAATATTTTCAATTCAACCATAGGTCGACCATGCGACATAATGACAGGTTACAAATATGTCGCATTGTCAATTCGTCACCCTAACTAAGTTGTGTAAAATATGCATTAAAATCTGCATCGACAATGCGACAACGGGATAATGTCCCTTCTAGGATTCCATACAGGACTGTTTTATTTACGCCTCAGTAACATCCCGCCATATCACGGTCACCAATTTGAACCACTGATTGGGTACCACTGATTGGGTACCTCTGATTGGGTACCACTGATTGGGTACCTCTGATTGGGTACCACTGATTGATCCACTTAGCCTTGACACATTTCCTCATTTCCAAAACAAGCAACTGCATATCAATACGGATGAAATCAATGTGATTTCTATTGTATACCTGGGTGAGTAATGTCGGTTGTCCGTGAAGGGAGATTACCACTGTCTGCAGTCCACACGCAGTTCGGGTCACCCAGCTCTTGACCGTTGGTCATACCGTCACCATCAGAATCTAAACGGCACAAATCTTGTGTCCACTTAAACAGAATAAAACCCATTGTGAACAGAAAGAAACTTCAAGGTACATTTTGCGACTGATGGTCATGAGACGATAGAAGTTTTCTCAAACACAGAGCCCTGGTCTTAAAATGTGTTACCACATAAGGATATGAATAGTTCGCTCAAACGTAAACATATGACACATGACACTGTCTTAAACTGTGTTGAGAAATAAGGATATGAATATTTTGCTGAACAGTTTTGAACATAGGGCGCATCAGTTTTAATATGTGTTGAGGGCATAAACATTTTGCTCAGACGGTTTTAGGGACGGTGGGGTAGTCAAGTGGTTAAGTCTTTCGCTCGTCACGTCGAAGACCCGGGTTCGAGTCTCCACATGGGTACAATGTGTGAAGCTCATGAAGTCCCCCGCCGTGATATTGCTGTAATATTGCTAAAAGCGCCATGAAACTAAACTCACTCACTCGAATCCCATCACGGATATGGAGATATTATGACAACTGTCTCACAAAATAGATAAATATAAAATATATATACCACGTGGCCTTGAGAAGCGAAGTCTTTGCCAAAGTCGTTTCGGTTTCCTCCACCAAGAGCGTTGATGTGACCCACGCCATGCCAGTAGAAGTTGGCCCGACAGGGATGTGGGACCCGTTCGCCATTTGGAAGGCGCTTCCGGTATTCTCCATAACCCGACACAGCACACGCCCCCAGTAGCAGCAGGAAAATTATCAGTGCCCTGCGGAAACACGAGTGTGGCATTTTATCGGTAGGCAAATTAAGTATATAGCTTGTGAACAATAAGCCTCTGGTATAGAACCAGTATGTTATTATATTATATTGAAGTAAAAAAGATAAAGGATTGAGGATCGCATCTATCTTTGAGAACGACTTAACGGTTTCAATGATAGTTGTGTTGTACATCACGCAAACCCTGGCGCCCAAACGCTTCATATTCAATAAGATGGGTTCATGAAAATCGGGCACTTCGAGGTTTTCCATCCTTTGTCTGGTATAAAGGGTGCCTTAAAGATACAGATTAAAGTCAGCATTGAAAATTTGCTTTAAATGGCAAAACAGTACATGGATTTTCTAAAAAAATGGCAGGCAATTTGTATGGTGAGTTGCAGGACGCAAGTCAATGAGAGTCTTATCTCGACTATGGAACCTCTAATGTCAGACTGGTGATGTTGCGCTGACCTATGAAGACCACACCTTGACCGAATGATTATACGGTGTGCCTTACAGGATCGCTTTCAACCAGCATCCGAGATAAAGGCTGAGCTCAGGACAGCCACACAAGTACAGGTTTGTGACCGAACAGTACGAAACAGGCTCAAAGCAGCAGGTGTGAAAAGTAACGACCCGTTGTCGGCAGTAGAATGGCGCAGCAACATCAGCAATGGAGACAGGTATGGGTCCGGCGGCATGGTGTAAGACAGCTACGTCATTGGCGTTACATCATGTTCAGTGATAGTCCAGATTCAATCTGGACTATGTAGATGGCAGGGTACTGGTTTGGCGACGCCGAAATGAAAGGTATCAGCATAGCACCACCAAACAGCATGACAGATACGGTGGTTGGTCAGGCATTGTATGGGGCGGGATCACCTACGATAACAGAACCGAGCTCATTGCTATTGTGGAACTCATTCGTATTGTGGACGTTTGACAGGAGTGCGATACCGTGATGAAGTCCTCCGTCCTGTGGTAGAACCGTTTGCAAGGAGAACAGGGCGGCGGTTTAAGCTCCAGCAGAACAATGCTCGTCCCCACACGGATTATGTATCAGCTGATTGTCTAAGGAACAGTAACACAGTGTTGCCTTGGCCGGCTCAAAGTCTGGAAATAAACCCTATTGGACATTTATGGGATGTGTGTTCGTGTTCGTGGGCTTTCGCCACGAAATTTAGATGAAATTTTCAGTGTTTCCAGCACGAGTGACGTGGTATCCCAGTATGCCCATACGTTGCCAGACAGTTGCGGGAGCACGTGGTGGGGAACATACTCGATACTGACTCCCTTCATTTAAACTGAAAACAATGACTCAAGTCTGTTATGTTTGATGTGATCCCTTATCTTTCTTACATGTGTGTGCCTGAGGCCCCCCTCCCTCTCTCTCTCTGTGCGTGCGTGCGTGTGTGAGTGTGAGTGTGTGAGTGTGTGAGTGTGTGTGTGTGAGTGTGTGAGTGTGTGTGCGTGCGTGCGTGCGTGCGTGTGTGTGTGTGTGTGTGCGCGCGTGGTGTCACTCTCCGTGAACTAAAAGGACAACAGATAAATATCTTATTACTGCGTTGCCTGGTCGAACACGACTTGCAACACATGTAAAAAAAACAACGTTGCGAAATATGTACAGAGCATGGCGAAATACATACGCCTTGAAGCGTCGCCACGGCGCACCCCTTTCATTTGTCTGTGACGCTTGCACTTGAAGGGTAACAGAAGGCTTTCCAAACTCAGTACAGCTCAACTAAGACGCACTCTAACGTCTCTTTGTAAATCGAGCGATTGGAAACATTAAACCAGGTCAGGGTTGTACTGGTAATGTCAGTTCAAACAAAGTGCCATACCATTGGCTTTAGTATGCTTGTTCATAACTATATACGGAGTCACAGACAGACCTTGATGAACTCAAATAATGTTTGCTAAAGGTTCATGGTGTCTTTGCTCACTTCGTTACTACTATAGGATAGTCAAACACTGGACATACAGGGTAGAACAAGCAGTTCATGTGTGGGTCGTATTAGAATTAAGCATTCCTTCAGTTAAATTTGTTTTTTGTTGTTTTTTTTAGTTTGGGGTTTGCTGTTAACGACTATTAGTTTGCGTCTTGTAAATGATCAAGTAAACTGGTGGGTGATATAATGAACAAATCAATTCTGACCTCGTAAATCGTTAAGTCGCCTGTTATGGCCAGCACAGATTGCTTAATGATTAAAATGCGATTTGTTTCGGTTGGTTGATGATTTTCACCGCAAAGTCTATATGTAAGCAGCAAAGATGGTTCGGGTGATCCTGGAACTGTCATGCTTGTTAAGGACTGCATTAGCTCAGGGTCCTTATCCTGCTTACAGGCAATCCAGACTGCCTACGGGACTTCTCCCAGGCAATGCCGTTCAGTCCAATCAGACTCCGAAACACAGGGGCTTTCTGCACTGCCAAGAGTGTCAGAGTGTCTGTGTTCCTAGCAACAACACCGTGAACTCTAACAATGTCACTCAACAGATTTGGAGGCAACAAACCTAAGCCACCAAGAGCAATAGGGAGAACGTGCAAAGGTAAGATTTCGAAAGCGAGCTCCGGATACTTTGCCATGTTTGTCCAGAATCTTATCGGTCACAGGCGTCAAAATGGAGAGAACAAAATCAGTATTATATATAATTTCATTACTTTTATAACACAAACCTCCTTAACTGACGTAAGATGACGTTTAGGATGCATCGAGCCAAACGGGGCGGTGGGGTAGCCTAATGGTTAAAGCGTTGGCTCGTGACGCCGAAGACCCGGGTTCGAATCCCCACATGGGTACAATGTGTGAAGCCCATTTCTGGTGTCCCCCGCCGTGATGTTGCTGTAATATTGCTAAAAGCTGCGTAAAACTAAACTGAGTCAGTCAGTCAGTCGAGCCAACAGGATATGCCAATGTCATTGGAGAATAGATGCAGTCGTGAGTAAGAAGCATAATTTTGTATTCAATGCGCTGTTTCACTGGTAACGAGCGGGGGGATTGCAAGGTTGCAGAGATGTGGTTTGAGCATCTGGAAGGCGTAATGAGTCATGCAGCCTCTCTGAAGTTGAGATAGTAGGGTTGTTGGGATATTGTAGCGGAGATCGTTACAGTGGTCCAGCCATGATGGGGCCAGAGTTTTCAACAAAAGCTTGACAACTGAGCTTTCACTGATGCTGTGAATCTGGAAGAAAATGATGCTCTTGGGAGTTGATGTACGTGTTGTTCCATCGACATGTTACTCTTCCGCATAACACCTAGATTTCTGGCACAGGGTGATGACACATTTCTGGTACAGGCAGGTGAAGGCACATTTCTGGTACAGGCAGGTGATGGCACATTTCTGGCACAGGCAGGTGATGGCACATTTCTGGCACAGGCAGGTGATGGCACATTTCTGGTACAGGCAGGTGATGGCACATTTCTGGTACAGGCAGGTGATGGCTCACTCCTGCACAGGCAGATCATGCAATGTCACAGTCATCGATTCTGTCAGAGAGTGATGATGAGACCTTTTGTAGCTGATATTCTATCCTAGAGTCTGAGATTTTGTTTTGAGGTTATTAAGGGTCATCCATACCCTCATATCAGCTATGCAGGCTTCAAGCTTGGACTCCACTGTGTCTCAGGCGGTTAAATGGATATCTATGACCTGTCTACATAACATACGGCGAGCTTGACAGAACAGCTCTGCATATACAAGGGTACACACGTATGGTAACATACTGGACTGGAATGTTATCAGGAAAAACACCTATCCTTTCATGCTTGTATAAATTGCTTTTTGAAGATCATTACAAAACTTGACTAAGTGGAATTCTTCATTTAGAAAAAGTGGTCTTCTGTACCAGTGGATGTGAGGACCAAGGCTCACAATATCCACAACTGGCAGATGTAGTTGTTAAAAAGGAGTGGACTCAATACTGAACCTTGAGGCACTCCGACAGCAAAAGATGTTGGATTTGAGTTTGCCGACTCCGAGGTAATGTACGTATCTCGTTGATAATATGCAGTTTTGAAAATATGTTTATATATATTCATTTATATGGTTTATATTATTTGGCACGTAGTTATGTTGAGTACAAATACTGTAGTGAATGAGGTGATTATCTTTAATAATGTAATTAAGACAGACATGCATACAGACAGACATATGTCCAACATAACTGCATAGCTCGCCACACACCGTTTGATATAACGGTAAAATTAAAGAGGAAAAAGCTTCACTCACCCGCTCATGGCTGTGCCAGTGTAAGAAATGACACACATTCAATTCACAGCACTGTGAAATAGGTCTGGCAAAGATCACGTGATATAAACACACATTTCACAACTCGGAAAACGCTCCCTCGTGAAGGTGAATCTAATACATGTACGTATATGCTCGACACAGACAATAAGTATTTCAAGCCTAGACTGTCCCTATTGTTCCGTGTTTGTCAACCCGGATCTGACTAATAAGACATTGCGAAAGTGCGTTTAGCCTTTATTCTCCCTTCATTTTTTCAGCTTTTAGGTAACCATATGCTTTGGGAAAAGGTATATAGGCTATCACGCGAGTGTGTTTTAGGATGGTTAATATTCTGCATTAGGAATAAACATGTGTATTCATGATGCAGGATATTACCCATCCTAAAACACACGAGTGTGATAACCTTTTTATCATACAATATCATTCTTACTTTATAATTTTTAAAAATGCGATTTCATGTGCCACAAATCATGAAACTAAACTTCGTGGAATGTGTCCACATATCTATGACGTCACAAATATTTGCGTAGTAATACTTGACGTCACAAGCTCGGTGACGCAATTTTCTACTGATCACTCATTTGACTGCGTTACGTCATCTTGTTCCTGTCAGTTGTTTTGTTAAAGTACGTATTGTTGTCAACAAATCTTAGCTTACGATTGAAAAATAACAACAAACTCGCGTGGAACTTCAGAAACCTTGAGTTTTTTTTAACAACAAATACACTTTAATCTTCTCGTGACATTGTGCATCTGGGTTCCTAGTGCCGTTCGATGTTGGTATCTTCGTAAACCTATGAATTTCTATCTTCGCTTTGTAATCTACTCCATCTATCATAACCAGACATGAATTTTCTGGGATCAAAGCACTGAAAGTACCGTTACCACGGCCGTCAATCCGGACACGACCGCCGCCGCCATGTTTGTTTACACTGTGAAAGTAGTCCCTAAAATTTGCATATGACCCCAACGGATACCGAAAATATCCGTTAGCTTTATCCTGCCGAGAACACTATCCATTGTATGATAAATGTAAATATCAGTCACTTGCTTAGATTTTTCAGCTAAGAAAACCTTAGATTTTTCAGCCGTTCATACAACCACCATTCATACTGAAAATTGGATACTCTAAACAACAGATTTGACCATTTGTCATAATGCCGCGGTGCTTTATTTCTGAGCTATGAATAATAATGATAATTGAAAAAAGGGCGACAATGCGACCTTTTTCAAGTTGAAACTATGTAGCGTGTGAAACAGGCCTCAAAACAAATGACACTGTTATACTAATAATAGCGAATTGTCGCCTTTTCCATAAATGGTGCGCGCCTATAGATTTTAACTGTTCTTGGCATGCTCCTTTGTGGGTCCTGGGATATGACGACATGTGTCAACCAAGTCAGCTAGCCTGACCACCCGATCCCGTTAGTCTCCGAGAGGGAGCGCTTCATTGAGACATACATTTTAGGCGTGTAGAAAAAGACATATGATCAGGACATAAATAATTTATCTTTCCATTATATACGCCGACTGCTGTATTTGTTTACCACGCTTAAACTGATAAAGTATTTTATTAATCCGCCTGACATTAAAGGGAGACCAATCCACTTAAAGTATGTACTCGCAATTGGTTCAAGTCGCCCTAAAATATCACCACCACCACCATGAACTCGCAAGAGAGATGACCTTGAGAGGAATAAATCATTTAATTGTAGGGGCGCTTGGGGGTGGGGGTGGGGGTGGAGAGGAGGAGTGACTGTCTTTCCCCCCCCATTTAAAACACCCTACTCGACACAAACACAAGCAAAACATGAGTAACATTATGTTCAGGTGATGTGGATGAATCCCCTCGGTGACGCAGATCTTAGGCGTTTACCACTTTGATGTCTCCCACGGTCAGAGGGGCTGACAACATGGAAACATAATGAGGCCTGTCGGGCTTAAGGACGCTGCTCTAACAGCCATACTTGGACAAAATTGCCAGTGTTTCATAATTTTGTGCTGAATATATTTTGAAGAGCGAATGTCCATTTTATGATATAAAATATCATTTCCTCATAGTCAACACACCATAACGTCACAAAGAGTATACCATAGTGAATATACCATAACGTCACAGTGAATATACCATAACGTCACAGTGAATATACCATAGTGAATATACCATAACGTCACACTGAGTATACCATAGTGAATATTCCATAACGTCACAGTAAGTATACCATAGTAAATATGTCATACGTCACAGTGAGTATACCATAGTGAATATATCATAATGTCACAGTGAATATACCATAGTGAATATACCATAACGTCACAGTGAATATACCATAGTGAATATACTATAACGTCACATTGCGTATGCCATAGTGAATATACCACAGCGTAACAGTGAGTATACCATAGTGAATATACCATAACGTCACAGTGAATATACCATAGTGAATATACCATAACGTCACAGTGAGTATACCATAGTGACTATACCATAACGTCACAGTGAACATACCATAGTGAATATACCATAGTTTATATACTATAACGTCACAGTGAATATACCGTAGTGAATATACCATAACGTCACAGTGAATATACCATAGTGAATATACCATAACGTCACAGTGAGTATACCATAGTGAATATACCATAACGTCGCAGTGAGTATACCATAGTGAATATACCATGACGTCACTGTCAGTATGGCATAGTGAATATATGATAACGTCACCGTGAGTAAACCATCTTGTAGAGAATACAACATGACGTCACAGTGACTTTACCATAGTGAATATACCATAATATCACAGTGAATCTGCCACAGTGAATATAACATAACGTCACAGTGAATGTACCATAACGACACAGTGATTATACCATAGTGAATACACCATGACGTCACAGTGAGTATACCATAGTGTATATACCATAACGACAGAGTGAGTATACCATGGTGAATATACCATACCGTCACAGTGAGTATACCAGTAGAGGATACTAAACGACTTTCCGTGGAATTCCATTTTTATTAAACGAGTTAAATAAAATGGTATTTCATGGAAGCGAGTTTAGTATGCTGTTTATTACTCTCCAACAAAAATTGATAGAAACTGCCTACAGTGTGATGACTTTCAGCTTTCTGCGAGTTAAGCAAGGTCTTATACCATTGTGACAGAGGTATTAGCATTGTGACGTCATATCTGTAAATCGCTATGACGTCATTACACTAGCGTAATATTGCGTAAAAATATTACACTGCAGTATCTTTCACAGGCGAGTAATAATAGTGAATATACCAAAACGACACAGTGAATATACCATAGTGAATGTACCATAACGTCACAGTGAATAGACCTCAAGGTGATAATGAATGTAACATATTGCCACAAGGAATATACTGCGAAGCCACACTGATTATACCTTGGTCCCAAAATAGATATGCAGTAACTCCACACGCGAAACTAAGTATGACCTTATTAATGATAAATGTACAACCGTCCTCCTACATGTACACCATACCTGGTTCAGTATAACACACTCTGCGGTAAAAAGAAATCCATTCCATATACCCCAAAAGAATAAAGTTTCTTATTGCCAAGGAAAACTATTTAAAAATGAAAATACGCCACAGAAAACAAACTACAGATTACTAGGTTCTGTTCATTGTGGCATATCTAACATATAAATGTTTCGATTATTTTGTTTGATTTTTGTTTGTTATTCATCGCTTTTCAGATTTGTTTCTATGATCTCTGATGGATAAAATTCTCTTTGGCATTGATTTAAAATTAAATAAACAATAATAATCTAGATTATATAAATGATAGTTTGGTGATGATTTGACAGAATCCATTTAATCTCATGCTGAGAAATCTTTTCCTTGCATGTGCTTCCACAGTTAGCAAGTAATGCCTGATATGAAATCTTATTAATAGAAATATAGTATCTCGATGTATCATTTAAGACGATATAACTATTTAGCACCCAAAACCGCTTCCACAGAATATGGTGCTATTGGTAGATCAAGCGATATAAACAACAATACAATGTTTTGGAGACCATTATGTCGTGACCAGTTACAATTGAATGACATTCACTACTATCTAAAGATTGTCAGCTGTACTTTTCCCTCTCACGACACTGGTTATTTCCGTGTACAAACTGAACAAATAACAAATGACTTTGAATGATAAATATAATGTGAAACACTAAGAGTTTTTGTTAGAGAAACTGTATACTACAGATATTAACAACAAATGAGCCCAAATGATTTATAAACGCTGAAAAACACACGATCAAACCGATGTATTTGGATATATGCATCAGATGATCCACCGGCTCTTTTCCACGACCCTCACACCACCCCTGCTTTAACCCCCAACCCCCTAAGCTAGTTCCACGTGACCGGAATTGTTTACCCGCAGGGTGGTAGCAGTCATATGACAGTGATCACGGTTATTTGTGGAAAGAGCAACCCTCACGTGAGCTTGATCTGTTCTATTTGAAAGGATATTAGGTCAACCGGGTATAATTCCCCGCTGGGTACTCCAGTTCACACGCACACGGTTATCGCCCAATTGACAGACACCCATTTGACAGACACCCAATTGACAGACACTGAACTAGAAGGTTAATTAGGGTAACACCTACGGGTATAATGGAACAGTCCACTGTCTAGTGAGTAGAGCAGGGTGAGCCTGAAACAGGTTCGCTACTGCGAAGTTTGATTGTGGGTAAATAGAACTTTGTTGTGATTAAATGATAAATGATTTCTCTTCTCAAAATTGATTTTAATATCAATTACTATCGAATATAAAAACAGGTTTGTCACTGAGAGGTTTGATTGAGTTTATTGATAGAAAAGCCACCTCCCAATAATAGCATATGTACAACAGAAGTTAACTGAGAAAACGTTTTTTTGGAGAGATATAGATATGTACATATTTGAAAACATTTCTGATTTGCAGTAAATGAGACACCTGCATTGCCATGTAAGATCAGATTA